CGCCGACAGCGAAACGCAGCCATCTTTCCATCTGCGGTCTTCCCGATGACGTCATAAAAGGACGAGCGTTAAGTATCTTCTCGTCGTGTCCGTCGCCCGCGTTCTGTGAACGTTTGTGTTTTTGTCTGGTGTCTGCTAATACTTCTTGTCAAAACATGATATAATTACAAATCTAGCACAAACTTTCGAATACCTTTTATTTTTTGTTTAAAGGAATGTTCTCACAATCTGAGATATCTAAGCACAATGTTTAAAATCAAACAAATCACAGATTGTTGGAATGACAAACATTTTTATTTATTTTCATTTCTTTTCACAGAACAACTAGCTTCTCATTAAGCGCGATCTGAGCTTGAGTGAGATTTGCCAGGTAGGTCACCATCAACAGATCCTGCAAAGAATCAGAAGAGTATGAGCACTCCATAAACACCAGAACACAGCTATGATTCAGTCTGAGAGACATTACAGGGTTTCCACTGTTTTATATTTTACAGCTTTTTGTGATTTCTTGGATAAAGATTTTTATAAATCATTTTGATTCAGGAAGTCTGGCTAAGGTACCATTAAAGATAATTTTAGTAGTACATAAAACTAGTTTGACCGATTCATTGAAAAGGGGTCAATTCACTCACATCACTATGGCTAACATGTTTTATTTAACATATGAGCAATAACTAGCCACTGAAATATTTTATAAGAGAAAACTTCTATTCAGCTACCTCACTTTCATTGTAAAAAAAACTTTCATGATGTTCCAGACATGGAAAACAAAACTGTGATATTTCCATGTTTTTCATGACTGTGGGAACCCTGAAAGCATGTAAAACATGTAGTATATCAAATTATACAGAATGTCACGTACGTTAATGTTGGAGTTCAGCATGCTCTCAAAGTCTTCTGCTGTGATCTTGGGCACTTTGTTCACAAGATCCATCAGGAAACGACCAACACTGTTATCTGCCATCACTTTACCAGACTAGAAAAAAAATTATATTTCAGTTTTTAAACAAAAATGGATTTTGTGAGATCATCCTACAAGACAAGTGTTGATAACTCTTGGGGATTCTTGCATTTTCCATAAAATAACTTATTTAATATAACTGCACATTATAATGATCAAATACTAATATACTAGGGGTGCAACGGTTCTCGGTAAAAAATCGAACCGTACCGT